TGACTCCCCCCCCAAATCTTTGTGTTCCTGGGAACACGACCCAGATGGGAGGCGAGAATCAGGCAGAGGGCACAGAGGCCAACAATGGCATCAGGCCCTGCGGCTTTCAGAGATGCTCCCTCCTGGTGTCTCCCTCCGGCCAAGGGCTTCCCCAGCTGGTAGGCTGCCAGCAACGCTGGGGGGACGGCTGAGGGACATGAATCCGGTCGCCTGGCCCACCGCGGCCTCTCCCGGGAGGCCTGTGGGCCTCAAGCAAATGGCATGTGGCTGGTTTGCCCAGACACCCCTGTGTGTGCAGTGGGACGTTCGCGGGTCCTCCCTTCGGGACCTCACTGTCCCTTCCCCTCCGCCAAGCTCCACACACAGCACAACCAGGTCCGTAACTCACGCACCCCGTCTCCCAGAAGAAAAGGAAAACACGGACTTTGGCAAAACAATTTTATTGTTTAAAAAATAAATGTTACATTTGACATACAAAAAGTCATTTTTAAAAACTCTGTTCTAAATGTGTCTCACTGTCTGAGACATCGTTAAGTGTCTGCCCCTTCCATAAAAACCAGGGGCAGTTTCTCTTTGTGCAAGAAGACAAGGCACATCACTGTCGCTTGGCAGAGAGGGGGTTCACACCTACAGTCTCCCCACTGCACCACACAAAGGACACAGTCCCTCTGAGAAAGGAGCTTACCTGCCACTCTGCTCGCCGGGCAGAAGCCCAGTACGGAGTGTCCCAGCCCGGGACAGAGACCGCCCGGACACGGTCCCGATTGCAACACACCCTGGTTTCCCCGCTGGCCCCACACCCCATCTAGGTCTCTTGCTGGCTCTGGACCAGCTTCGGCCTTCCCGGCTGGAGACAAGGCCCTTACACTCGGCCCTTGGTTGCGGGACCAGGAGGAGGGGACTGTACAGGTCACACCTCGGAGAGCTGGATGCGCTCTGGACCCTCGATCGGAGCTAACCCAGGGTCCTCCTGTCCTTTCCTAGTTAAGTATCTCACGACATTTTGTAACGTTTATAATTTATGAGGCATCTGTTTACACTTCCACTTCCAAAGCGAACTACTAGCCATCCAAATATGCTCCCCTGGGCTCTCAGCAAATGAAAATGTGTTTGCCTGGCCCTACACCAGAGGGACAGAAAAGATGCAGAGACTTCCTGCAAAACACCCCAGAGCAGGGCAAGGGGTTGGGACAGAGACCACCCTAGGGAATCAACATGATTCCCCTAGACCCCCCCACCCTGGCCGCCTTCAGGTCACGCACAGACACGGTCCCCCGGGGTCTGCTTTGCAAACAGGAGCTCCTGAAGCTGCCCCGGGAGGAAGTTTCCCCGAAGGGATCACTAGAATTTCCGAAATGCCTCCTCCAACCTCTTGCTGTTTCTGTCTTGTGCCGGCGACAGCACTTGTGAATTGGCACCTCGCTTAGCCACAAGCCGTGGAAGCCGCGCTCACAGCCCACCCCTGGAGGCCACCAAGCGCCGCCTCTGGAGAAGACCTCTGCCACCGCCCGTCCCCAGAAACACATGCTGGGCTGAGACCCCGCTCGCTCCAGCCGGTGAAGACCTGTGTGGCGGAAAGACCGCTCTGAACGGGGGGCGGCGCTCGGCCCTGGTGGTGACAGGGCACGAAGGGACCGTCGCTTCGTATGGAGACTGCACAGGGTGTGACACAGGCCAGCCCCGCCGCACGCTAGCGCCCCCTTCAGGCACCGGGCTGGAAACACCCGACGGAAGCGGGACGGAGACGGCGGCGCGGGTGAGCCACCGGTGGGCGGAGGGAAACAAGGGCAGGCAGGGCGCACACGGGGAGAAACCCACACTTGCAACAGGCGACACCGGCTGTGTGCGCAGAGCCTCTGAGCGCCAGGCGGACCAACTGAGCCGTCCCCGCCCAGCCCCCGCCGTGACCCGCCCTCGCAAGGCCCTCGGCCCTCCGTGTGTGTCTTTCCAGGGGGCGGGCGGGATGGCGCTGGCCGGCCACCACGGGCACCCCGGGCCCTGTGCCTTGTGCGTTCTCGAACACGCCGCCAGGCAGCTTCCCCACAAGTGGCCTAAGGTCTGCAGGGTCCTGTCTGCTTAGGATAAAAATCTAACCGGATAAAACTGACAAGAGTGTGCTTATGTGAGGCTGCATGTGTTTTCGTTGAAAATAAATTTTTTTGTTGTTGTTCCCTAAGGGAAACCACCCCTTAATTAAGGTCTTGTGGAAGCTTCTCCCCTCCTTTCTGTGTCACACTGCCCTCAGCGCTCTGTACAAACGGGGAAGGCAGGGCGCGAGGCAAAGCAGGAGCGAGCTCTGGGCCCAGGGACAGCAGGCCTGTGCCTCCGGGGAGACGACCCCGGGGGAGCACTCTGCACCCCCAGGCCGCTAACCTGGAGGCCCCAGGGTGGGAATAAAGCTCTGTCTGCAGAGAAACAAGAAGCAGGGAAGGTCAACGCGACTATTTTAACTTGCGGTTAGCAGAGAACTGTGCTCCCAGATCAAACTCAGAACCCAGCTTACAACAACCTGGAAAGTCCCTCCGTCCTCTCCCCACGACAAATGGTGAGGTGCTCGCTCTAGAGATGCTAAATCGCTGGGGGGGGGGTCCACGAGGGCACACGGGCCTCCGCCCGCCGCTCCGTGACAGCCCCCCCCCCCCCGGGCACCGAGAGCTCCCTGGGAAGGAGGGGGCACCCACGGGGCTGGTACCCTGGCCTGTTGTCGCCGGACCACCTCAGTTCCAGCGTCAAAGTCATCCGTAAACAAGGACGCCTCCGCTTTCCTCACAGGGTGCTTGAGAGAGCGAGGAGACCGAGCAGCGTGTCGCGCCGGCCTCATCGACCCCGTGAGCAAGGGAGCCGAGCTCCCACCCCAGGGGCCACGGCGGCCTCGCTGCGCCAGCCGGGCCCGCGGCACGAGGCCGCAGAGGGAAAGCCCAGGCTCCCGTCCCAACGTGCTCCCTAGCGGCCCCCGTGTGAGCTGGACACACGCGCTCCCTTCCGCACCCCGGGCCCTCGGCTCAGACACGGGGTGGAGCTGGATTAGAGCAGCATTTTTCAAACCATGTTATCAATCTAGTAGGTTCTAAGCAGCATCTCTCAAACATGAAAAATAGAAGCTGGAGGGTATCTCACGTTCTAAGCTAAGAATCCCTTCACGGAACTTGTGCGTGAGGCACACTCGCACACGAATGTGATGACGGACTGCTGAGGTAAGGTGTGCTTCTGGCCACGGATCGCGGTCCAGAAAGGTGGGACACCCTCAGTCTCGGTGGCCCGGCTCTGAGACTCTCCTTCTCAGTACGGGACACAGGGGACTTTTGTGGTGTGACTTCAGGACAGCACTTGGCACCTCTGCCCCACCCCTGCCCCTGACGTATGCTCCGCAGATGAAGGCTGGGCTCTGAGGCAAGGCCCTCCTCTCAGACGGGAGGTCCTGGCCGCAGGCCCGCGCTGACTCACTATTATTCAGAAATGGTGACATCAAGGGCCTGCCGGCCCACATGCTGGAGTGATTCTTGGGCGCGTGGAGGTCCCTTTCTGTCAGTGTTGCAACCACAGAGGATGAAGGTCCTGAAGAACACATGGGGGAGAGCTCTAGGCCAGGGGCTCGCGCGGGCAGGGCCGGGATGGTGCAAGAGCGCCCCCACGTGGCCACACAACCACGCGTGTCCCCTCGTGAGCGCTGGCCCCCCCCCAACCAGACAAAAACATTAAAAAAAAAAAAAAAAAAAAAGCTAAAACGCAGACCCCCAGAGAGAGACTTCCCGACCCGGGCACTGGGGTTCTGCTTTGCCGAGGTTAGCTCTCTCGGTGTAAGGAGAGATGTCCTGTCCAGACGGGTCGTGGGAGGCCAGGGGGCTTTCAACAGCAGTGCCTTTCACATAGAGAACCCTCAGCTCAGGCCCCAGAATGCTTTACACCCATAGCCTTGCAGAAAGTGTAAACACTCAGAAGCAGAGAAATACATTTGGCGATGCTCGCCCTCACCAAGGACAGCCCTCAGGGTGACATCAACACCTGATACAAGGTGTCAGGCAGTCACTCAGGAAAAATCGGTCTCGTTCCTTTACAGTCCTGTCTTGAGAGCACGAAGACGTGGGAAGTTGAAATACTAATTACATGTGTGAAAATATTTTTTTAAAAGAATTTCAGAGAGACAGCCCCCCCCCCCCACACTATTACTGGCTCGGCGCTAAATCAAGAACAGAGCACCCAACCTCCTCTGAACAGAAGCTACCTGTTGTTTTCCCAGGGGGTCAGTGTGTCCGCGGTGACAGGAGAGGCCAGCAGACAGCAAGCAGGTGGGCTCCATGCCCCCGAGAGGTAGTGTGAGGGGGGCGGGGGCCGGCCAGGTCCCTGAGAAGCTCGTGGGCAGCCAGCGCTGCCTGGGAGCTGCAGCTGCCCCGCGGAGGAGGCCCAGCTCCTGTCTGATCAGATCAGAGCACCTGCAGGGTCCGGACCATTTCCATCACAGCTCTCCCCACAAATGACACGTCCCCATCACAGAAAGGCTTAACCGGCTCTTTCCTGGTAAAGCAACAGGGTCTACTGAGAGTGGAAACGCCCACCTCCCCTGAGGTGTAAAGGACCCTCTGGAGTGAGGGATCCCTGGAAGGGCCGAATCATCTATGCCCACTGTGTATCACAAAGGGGGTGGGCTAGAGAAGGGAGAGTGGGCAGGGGGCCTCCCCCCACGCAGAGAAGTCCATCTACTGAGAAAAGGAGCTCCAAACAACAGCTGCAAGATTTCTGGGAACTTCTTAGTGTTTGTTGCTGTGTTCCTGCTACCGCCCTTCATCTGCCTGGGGGACAGAGGGGAAGGGAACCCAGAGAGAGCGGAGGAGGCGGCCACAAAGAGGCCGGGACAGTAGGCTAAATGTCAGAGGCTCGGGAAGAAGGGCAGGGACAGAAGAAACAGCCAACTCAAGGTCTCTGGACAGTTTCTAGCACCGGCTTCGTGTGGGCTCTGTACCTGCTGGGACCCATGCTCCCCTCTCTCTGCTATCCATAGTCTTCTTTTCCACAGGAGCCAGTTCAAGGATCACCCCCTCCAGGAAGACTTCCCCGATTAACCCTAGCCATTGCATTTCTACTGAAGTTGGGAGCTCTCACACCGTCCTGTTTTGGGCTGGCTGGTGTTATTGTGTAACTGCTGCTGGTATGTTCTTAAGGTGGATATTTCTCTCCTGACTTGGACTGGAAGCTTCTCAAGAGCAGACTCCATTTCTTCCTTGTGTCTGCGTCTGCGTCTGCGTCTGCCCACCGCAACGAGCCACAGACTGTCAAAGGGATTGAGATAAGGCCTTGTCCTTTCCTCTCTGGGGGCTTAATCCTGAGGCATCAGGTTCCAGAGAGCCAGGAGAGGTGGCAGGACTTAGGGGAAGGCGAAAGTACAGGGGAAAGCAAGCACGGGAGCAAGCTAAGGCCAAAGGCACCATCATCCCAGAAAAGCCTCATAGTCCATATACCAAACCAGCTGGCCGGAACTAGGCAGGACACCTGAAATGGGCCACTTCTTGGGCTCATGGCCCACGCGGCTCACCAGCATGGTGATCTCACGCTTCAGCCTGCCCATGACCAGGACCGCCACCTTGCGGGCACGGTTGATGAGGGGCAGGCTCAGGCTCATGCGCTGGTGCGGCTTGGAGGGGCTCCGGGTCAGCACCACCGGCTGCGTGCCCTCCAGGCCGGCGGGCGACTGTGGGAACAGGGAGGCCGTGTGCCCGTCTGTGCCCATGCCGAGCAGCACCAGGTCGAAGCTGCTGTTGGTCACCAGGGCCGAGATCTCGCTGGCGTACATCTGGGCGCCCCGGTCCTCCTCGGCACAGAGGCGCTGGTGCAGATGCACCGGCATGGGGTGGACGTTGTAGTGGGGGACCCTGACGTGCTGCAGCAGGTGAGCCTGCAGGCCCTGGAAGTTCGACTCGGGGTCCCGAAGTGGGACGCAGCGCTCATCCACCAGCCACAGGTGCGTGTGGGCCCAGGGGAAGCCGTAGTGCCGGGTGGCCAGCTGCTCCAACAGGGGCACGGGGCTGGAGCCGCCGGACAGCGCCAGGTGGAACTCGCCAAAGCGCCGCACCGCCCGCACAGCTGTGGCCTCGATGTCATCAGCCAGCTTCGCGATCAGCTCCTCAGGCCAGGCCGAGATCAGCGGGCTCTCCCGGTACTTGGCCCGGAGAACCTGGAAGTCGCTGGGCTTTGGAGCGGAACCTAGGCCCGGCACCAGCTGCTCCAGCTGCTGCCGGGAAAAGCGCAACTGGGTGCCACTGAACTCGAAGTCCAACAGGTGCCCGCTCTCGGCTCCTTCCGGGTAGAGGCGCGGGACCTCGTGGGCCAGGCTGTCCAGCAAGGGGGTCCAGAAAACCCAGGAGGCCAGCAAGTTCTCCGTGGTGATGAAGGAGTCCTTGCGGCCGTGGAAGATGTGAGATATGAGAACAGAATAGGCGTCCTGCTCCCTCACGGGGCTGTAGGCATAGTAATCCGACAGAGGGCGGCCGAAAAGGTGGAGCCCGGGCCGGCCCTCCACTTCCTTCCAGCTCTCAGAGGGCAGAGAGGGCCTGAACAGGTTCCGACTGACCAGCACCGCAGGGCTGCCCAGCTCACCGTGTCCGATGTAGAAGACGATCTGCCGAGGCAGGCACTGGCTCTGGTCTGCCACCCAGCGCTTCTCGTTCTGGGTACAGTAAGCCTGGTTCCGGAACAAGATCCGCACATAGCCCACTCTCTCATCCAAGGCTTTGCCAGACATCAGGAAGAAAGGGACGCCCTCCCAGCGAAGGTTGTCTACGTGAACAAGGATGCCTGAGGTGACAGGGGACAGCGGAGGTGACACTCGAGCACAGAGAACCCAGGACTTCCCAGTGCACCCGCCTTCCCTTCCTTCCCTCCACACCAGCCCTTCTCCTCTCTGAGCCCCTCCTCTGGGCAGCCCACTGCCTTTGGAGCACCCCCAGCCTTGCTATGCTCAGCCTTTCTAGCATCTTCTCCCCCAAGTCAGTGCTTGAAGTGCAGCCTCGGGGCCACCTCAGACACCCACCTCCGTGAGGCGCCTTAGAGGCCTGGCCTTCCCCTGCCCCAAGCAAAGAGAACTGAAGTCTCATGGTGGGGAGGGGGCCATGCTTCCCTCCCGCTTGTAGAGCACCCAGATGTGCCTGAGGCAAGGCCAGACAGCGGAGAAGGGGTGGGGCTGGGGCTCTGAGCCAACAGCAGGGTGGTGTGCGGGTAAGGGGGCCTGCAGCGGGCGGGTGCATGGTGGTAGGAACCAAGGGCTGAGTGCACTCCTGACTTGAGTTCCAAGCCTGGTTTTCCCATGTACGATCTCTGCATGACCTTGAGCAAGTTTCTGAACTTCATAGAGCCTCTGGTTTCCTGACCTTTGAATGGGGTTAGTAATCACGCCTGTGCCATGGGTTTGTGCACCCGAGGGTTACGTGAGGTAGCGTATATCAAGTGCCTAGCACGTCATAAGTGCCCCATAAACAGCCGCTGCTCTTGTAGTGGAATTTATTACCTGCAGCCTTAGGGGGCCAGCCCTCTCCAGGAACGCTCTGGGCCCGGGGAACTGTCCATAGCATGGCTGGAGAGGACATCTGTCTGAGCCGCAGGGAGACTGCCTGCCAGAGGTGCCTTGGGCTGTGGCCGGACAGATCTGTAGCCTCACTGGGGGGCGGGGGGGGGGGCTGGCTATAGGTGGGAGCCAGGTCTGAATCCGGCTCTGGAAGTGTGTGTGGATGCAGACTGAACTGAGACCACCACTGGGGTACCCTTCACCCAGAACAACCCAACAGGTGAGCTGCCGCCGAAAGGCAGTGGAAGGCCAGAGAAGCGAAGGACCTTCCTCCCTGGCGACGAGCACCCTTGTGAATGTCCCACCTGAGGTCTCTTCCAACCCAAACCAAAGGGCGTCTGGACTTGGAAAGCTGCTTCCGGTGGGGGACAGCCCCTGCGCGGCCCCAGGGCCCACCTGCGAAGGTCGGCGTCAGGCTGTGGAAGCTGTCTGGCTTCTGCTGCTCTCTGCGAACCTGCTCGCCGTACGCCTGGTACTGGCCCAGGACGGCACTGCCCTTCTGCAGGCCCCGCAGAGCCCGGAAGGCCTGAAGCTTGTGCTGCAGCACGGCCTCTGAGCTGCTGACGTTGTGGGGCAGCTCCATGGCCACAAGGGTGAGGACCTCCGTCAGGTGGTTCTGGAGCACGTCGCGAATGACGCCGTACTCCTCATAGAAGCTGGTGCGGCCTACACAGGAGGAGGAGGGGGAGCAGGGGCTGTAAAGAATCGGCAAGATGCCCCACCTCCCGGAGGCGCACCTGGACACCCTCCCCCGCACCCCTGCCCTGCACACCCACCCTGCAGCCGGCGTCCTCAGCCCCCAGTGCCAGAGAGCTTACAAAAACGACTTATGCCAGAGCATTAACAAGCGAAGGAAGGAGAGTGTCTCTGAGCATTCTAAGCAAAGCTGTCAAACTCCCTGGGCCTTCCCAGGAATCTGCGTGGGGAAGGGTCTGGTGCCAGCAAAGGCCAGAGGACATTTATTTGCAGATGTGTGGCCAGACTCCTGCCCCTCCCCAGGCATCCGTCGGCAGGTGTCAGTGCCGCTTAGTACTGTGTGATCCTGGGCATTCCCTGACATCTGGGTCTGTTTCTGCACGCTGCCATTAAATGGGGCTAACAACGGCCACCGCAACACCAAGGGCACAGCTGTGCAGGCCGTGAGCTGGTGTGGAGGTCCCTGCCCTTGGCTTTTGGTGGGAAGGAAGGAAAACATAGTAAGTCAGTAAAGGAATTACAGGGGCGCCTGGGTGGCTCAATCGGTTGGGTGTCTGACTCTTGGTCTCAGATCAGATCTTGATCTCAGGGTCATGAGTTCAAGCTCCACGTTGGGCTCCATGCTGGATGTGGAGCCTACTTAAAAAAAATAAAAAAGAGGGGCGCCTGGGTGGCTCAGCCAGATCAGTGGCTGCCTTCGGCTCAGGTCATGATCCCAGGGTCCTGGGATCAAGCCCCTCGCTGGGCTCCCTGCTCAGCGGGGAGTCTGCCTCTCCCTCTCCCTCTGCTGCTCCCCTGCTTGTGCTCTTTCTCTCTGTCAAATAAATAAATAAAATCTTTTAAAAAAATAAAAAAGTACAGAGAGAAGAGGGCCCTCTGAGGGCTGAAGAGTCAGCACAGCAAAAAGCCAGGGAAAGACTGTGCTGAAGGAGCCCTCGGGTACAGACACCCCGAGACAGGAAAGAGCTTGGCTGGGGGGGTCTATGGGAAGGTGAGCAGGACGGAGAGGCCGGGGGGGCAGGGACTGGTGGCACCAGTTCTACGTTCCGGGAAGCAAGTGGAGAATCTGAGGCAGGAAAAGACAAGATCTGGTGTATGTTCCCGCTGGGGGAAGAACAGATGCAGAAGCAACGCGCCCAAGGAGGCGGCTATGCGGGGCCCCGAGGAGGAGGCTATGCGGTGCCCCGGGGAGGCGGCTATGCGGTGCCCCGAGGAGGAGGCTATGCGGTGCCCCAGGGAGGCGGCTATGCGGTGCCCCGAGGAGGAGGCTATGCGGTGCCCCGAGGAGGCGGCTATGCGGTGCCCCGAGGAGGAGGCTATGCGGTGACCCGAGGAGGAAGTTATGCGGTGACCCGAGGAGGTGGCTATGCGGTGCCCCGAGGAGGAGGCTCCGCAGTCGCCAGTGGCCCCGAGGGAAGGCAACCGTGCTGGAGCTGAAGGGGCAGCAGAGGAGCCAGAGGGAGTGGACGATCTGTTGTGGAATCAGAAGTCACTGCCTGCTTGCTGCCCACTGGTGACGAGCCTGAGCCCAGGGGAGGGGCTAGAACTGGGGCCTACGCAAAGGATGGGCAGTGGGGGGGGGGCCCCGGGAGAGGACCAGTGGAGGGGAACCATGAGTTCTGTTCTGTGTGTGTCTAAGCTGAAGACAGCAGGTTGGCAGGTGGACAGGGTCACTGTGCGGGTAAGGGAGAATTACACCGAGGACACGGGGCACAGAGCCCCGCGGCGGCAGCCCGGTGCTCACCGCACCCCTTCCGCTCGCCCTCCCAGGATCCCGCAGGGCAGCTCCCACCACCGCGCCTGTTCCAGCCCGGACGGCAGAGTCAACTGTCTCAGGCCAGTACAGGCCAAGTCAGGAGCGGGGCCAGCATGTGCGACAGCACACTGCGTCCTCCAGAACTCAGCATGAGGCCTGATCGGCAGGGACTCAAATACATACAATCCCACAGTCTCACAGCTTAGGCTTCAAACGCACAACAGGGCACAGGGCATGGTTCGTACTCGGCCAGCCTGCCGACACCCAGGCCAACTCAGAGCGTCACGGAGAGAGCCGGACATCATGGCAGGAGGAGTAACCATCTGTCAAAGGCCTTGTGTGATCAGCTGGAACTCAGGCCTGGTTCCTTCACCCAGTAACTCCTACCTGTCCTTCAGGTCTCGGCTTCTAGAGGGTGTCACGGACCCCTTGGCCTGCACTCCTGGGGGCCCTGTCTTCCGCAAGCCCAGCTGACTGACTCGGTGTCCGTCTGTCCTCTCCCTGCCACACCCGAAGCTCCAGCAGAGTGGGAGCTCACCGGTCTGCCACCACTGCACGCCTGGCATCTGACGCAGCCGCACAGCCACGCCACGGGACACCGGACAGCAGAGAACAGGAACATCCACACTCACAAAATCATAATGTGGACAGAAAGAAACATGCTCGCTTTGATAACATAAAAACTAATTTTGAAAAGAGGATATAAGAGGACCGGTGTACATAGAACTTCAATAAATGAAAAATGCAATTGGAAATCAGAAATTCAATGGATGGGTTTTATGGATTAGAAACAGGTGAAAAGAGTCAGTCATTGGAAGACAGATCTGAAGAGATTATCCTGAACGCAGGATAAAGGAACAAAAAGACCCACACTCTCTCTCTCTCTCTCACACACACACACACACACACACGCACACACGCACGCACACACACGGTATGCGTCTTCTTCAAAATTAAACAACATATTGTCTAGGAAGTCAGGCCTACTTAGAAACAATAAAGAGAAGCAAGGGAGTGACCTACCCAAAATCTGGAATAGTAAAGGAGACAAAATAGGGCAAGATTTGGGGAAGGACACAATAAAGCTCTTTTTTAAAAATGGCTTGGTGGGTACACTGGTGTTTGTTACATCGTACTTCTTCATGCTACACATATTTAATAAGAAGTCTTTTTTTTTTTAAAGATTTTATTTATTTATTCATGAAAGACAGAGAGAGAGAGAGAGAGGCAGAGGGAGAAGCAGGCTCCTAAGGAGCAGGGAGCCCGATGCGGGACTCGATCCCAGGACTCTGGGACCACGACCTGAGCCGAAGGCAGACGCTTAACCATCTGAGCCACCCAGGCGCCCAATAAGAAGTCTTTTTTATCTAGTCAATATTTAATTCAAAGGAGCAAAAAGAAGTGGCCCCTAGTTTAGACCCGCTTGGGCCCGCACACTCCCCTACAGGGGCCACCCAGGGTCCTCAGCACCAGTCCTGAGCCACCTGCCCCAACCAGGCCCGTGGTGCTCGCTCATGCCAGCTGGATGGTGAGCAGGACCAGCGATGACTGGCACAATGTGCCCTGAATGCAGCCCAACATGATGTCATGCCTGATGGAGCAGCCAGGTCGTGGGGCAAGAAACGAAGCCAGGAGCCCACTTGTAGAAAGGCACTGTTGTCCTCAGTAGGCGTCTGACTCTTGTGTTCTCAGCCAGAACCTGGGGGTGCAGCTCTGGCCAGCCACACTAAACCCTGAAAGAGCAGGACAATCCAGCCCAACGGTGCCAGCCCAAATGCCCAAAGCATCCCCCACTGAAACAATGACTGAGCTCCCCCAGCCCCATGGGGTTCTGGTCTTCAGAGTTCTTACAGTATGGTTGAGAGGTATCCGAAGCAGACTCTGCATTGAGCACAGAGCCCGACGCGGGGCTCAATCCCACAACCTCGAGATCATGACCTGAGCCGAAACCAAAAGCCAGACGCTTAACTGACTGAGCCACCCAGGTGCCCCAGAAACCTCGTGATTTTTAAGTGTGCACAAATGATTGATTTTTTTTTTTTAAAATGCTGTGTATCTCAAAGAAATACACGTGTGAGCAGACTCTGTCCTGGGCCACATCCTAGCTGGGGCGCATATCATGAACCAGGGGACAGAGACCCCAACACACAGTTTGTCCGACAACGGTAAGCCCGGCCTGGCAGAAGCAGCGGGTCTGTGATTCAGAAGAGCGGAAATCAAGAACGGATGGAAAGGGCCTTAGAAACTAGGCTGAGAAGTCTGAGGGGCTATTAAAAGTTCTTCGCCTCAACCAGTTAAACAGAAGTACCGTGTGATCCCACAGTTTCACTCCTCCGTGCCCCCAGACATAAGTACGCGAACTACTCACCACGGCCGAGGAGTAGAAACCACCCAAATGTCCGCCAACTGACGAATGGATGAATAAAATGCGGTCTATCCAATATTCTGTTGAATATTACTCACAAGAAAAAAAGGTCTGGTGTGCCCTGCCACAGGGATGCACCCTGACACCATGCGCTCAGCGAGAGCTGAACACAAGAGGCCACCTGCTGTGTGAGGTCACTCGGACGACGTGGCGGGAAAAGGCAGGTCCACAGACACAGGAAGTGGGCCGGCGGCTGTGTGGGGCCGGGAGGGAGTGCAGACAAGGATAAGGGGTACAGGGCTTTTTTTGAGGATGACAGAAACCTTCTAAGATCGACTGCGGTGGATGCACGGCTGTGAATGCTCTAAAATCCACTGGATCGTATGCTTTAAATGGGTAAACTGTCTGATAGGGGAATTGTATTTCGAATAAGACTTTTTAAAGCAAGCGTTAGAGCAGGAAGGGGAACCACGCCAGAGGTGCCGTGGGACGAGGCCATCTCCAATCTACCTGCAGGACGGGCTCCCAGCGAGGGGGCCGGTGGCGATGTAATCGGCAAGACAGCATTCGGGGCAAACGCGGGAAGTAACAAGGGCCACAGCAAATGAAGTAACGGCGAAACGCAGTCATTAGTCAGGGGCTGAGGAAAGGCTGTGTGGTGCCTGGCTGGATCTGAGAGGCCGTTCGGAGCCGTGACCGGGAGTGCGGTCTCTGGAGCCAGGGTGTAGGGTTCAAGGACCCGCTCTGCCACCTTTCAGCTCTACGGCCCCACGTGAGCAGCCCTAACTCACAGGTAAATGGGGGCTAGTGGCACCCCTCCCTTGTAGGGCTGCCGTGAGCATGAATGAG